CAGCAAACAATGTGGAACCAATTAAATAAGAAACAAATGTTTAAAAATCACCTTAGATAAACGGCAAAAGTCAACAGGCTTTTCAGAATCCAAAATATTGCCAAACAGGCGCTTTTGCATCTCGTTTCGAAACTAAATCATCTGCCATCGTCTTGTCTGTCTCACCTCACTCTTCTTGTCAGTCAGCTCGACTCACTCTCCTCACTGGAGAAATGAAATCTGATCTGTGATGCGACTGTCGTTCGGCACGCTGCATTGAGCAGCCGCATTCCGTTTTTAATTGTAGTGTCTGTTCTTTTACTGAACTAAATGATTTTTATAACTATAAAAAAATCTAAACGATGGTGGGGGTCAGTGCTGCGGTGGGTAAGTGACGTAACCGGTGTTGCGACTTAACACCGGTATCACCGTCAGCACCATCTATTGCGGCAAGCCTAAGTCCAGCCACTGTTTATTCATGTCAAGCCCACTTACTGTATTCTTGCATTGCATTGAGATGGTCTGTGGATCGATTTCTTTCCCAGCATAAGCATATAGAGATGCGCTATACTGTTTGGTGACTGTAGTCAGATGCCTTCCCAGGTTTGAGACAGAAGGCTCAGATGCCCTCAGTCTTATTGTTGCAGCATCTGTTTCTGGAAATAAGAATAAATTTTTTGATAATGCAAACAAAGTGCTTTGTGAGAGGAACAGAATGATGGAGAATTAATTTCTGAGTGTGGTTTCTACTGATGAGTTAGATAAAAGCAGTGAACCGAGACTGATTATTTAACAGTTTGTGATGCCTCAGTGATTTTACCTCTCTTAAGAGATACTGACGATAGCAGTGAGGACATTGACTTTATCACTCACTGTTTAACAGTGTTTATTTGCCTCACAACATCATGTTACCTTCAAGGACCTTCACTTGGCATTTATAAACCTGAGGACTTCACTGTATTGTGGAACGCTGTATTTTCTCAAAGTGCGACATATAGGCTATGTTACACTGCATCTGCTGTGCCTAAACCCTGATTGTCATGAAGTGTTAATTTTAAATGAATAGTTCACCCCAAAATGAAAACTGGTGTCATCATTTACTCACCATTATGTAGTTCTAAATCTGTGTCACTTTCTTTATATTGTGGAACACAAAAAGTGCAAAATATTCATATGCTGTTTATCCATGTACCATATTTTCTGGAAAAATAAGTCACATGCAATTAATGCACCAGGCCAAAATTGCATTGTTGAGGAAAAGATTGTTAAAAAAACAAAACAGATAAATCGCATTGGTGTATAAATGTATATTATTATATTCAGAATAAATAACGTAAAATACCAGCCAATAAAATTAACATTTACAAACATTATAGACACTATAAACATGTATTTTAGTTCTCCTCAATCCACAACAAATTTAAATTTAAGAATATTCAGTATACATTTTTTGTAAATGCTAAGCATAAACAAATTTATTTAAAATTAAACTGAAACTATTAGTGTGAGCAATACAAATAAACTTTGACCAATGTGTGCTCCCTCTCTCATTCGGGATGAATATAAATATGTGTTTTGCATGCTTAATGTTAATTGCATTATCACTCTCAGATAAAAAGGTCCAATAACTGTCACTGGGGTGGTACCTTTTCAAAAGATATACCTTTGTACCATATTTACCTCTAAAAAGTGTATATTAGTACCTTAAGTGTACATATTAGTACCTATTGTATACATATTAGTACCTAAATGGTACATTAGTACTTTTTGAGAGGGTACCGCACAAGTGACACCTTTTTTTTCAGCCCGTTTGTATCCTATTATTTGATTCGCTCTTGTCGCTTATGACAGTACAGCTAATCATGATGATCTTGTCTTCGGAAAATATTATTTTATTCGCTTATCTCAGAAACAGTGAATCTCTTTAAAAACTGGCAGTTGTTTTCACTTCATTGCATTGTTATAATTCGTAAAAGTTGTACCCGCCAACTGGCGACTGACACTTACATGGACTCGCCAACGCTGATTTTTACTCACATTTGGCGCTTGGCGAGTGTTAATTTTAGGCCCAGATTACAAGTTTTATGAAGCCATAGTAAGGTACTAAGTGAAATTGACATTGTTATTTATTTATTCATTTAGCAGACGCTTTTATCCAAAGCGACTTACAAATGAGGACAACAGAAGCAATCAATTGTAGTATTAAAAACAACTAAAAACAGATCCAAAGCTAAAACTTTATAAATACTACTTATACACATTTTAAAATAAAGAAATTAAATAAAAATGTCAAATGCATACAACAAAATTTAAAAACTTAACATTTAAATGAAAAACAAAAAATAAAGCTAAAAACAATTCAAAATATTAAAGAACAAAAGGTATAAGAGTATAATAATGATTCTAACATAACACTAAGCCAAACACAAAAAAAATAACTACATATATGTGTATGTACAACCACACACACATACATATACAGTGGGGAAAAAAAGTATTTAGTCAGCCACCAGTTGTGCAAGTTCTCCCACTTAAAAAGATGAGAGAGGCCTGTAATTTTCATCATAGGTATACCTCAACTATGAGA